AAAGAGTTGCAGAATTAAGGCTATGAGGAGAGAATAAGAAGAGAAGAAAGGAAAGAAAGAAGGAGGGAGAAGGAAGGAAGGCACATTCGGGGTTAAGCATTGTCGATTGTGTTTAAAAGGAAGAGAGAGAAAATCAGTCGGTGCTAGGTTTTGTCGATTGAAAGGAGAAGAGAGAGAAAACCAGACGACGTTAGGCCTCATCGACTATCAAAAGAAGAGAGAGAAAGCCAGTTAGTGCTAGGCCTTATCGACTGACAGAAGAAGAGAGAGAAAACCAGCCAGCTGACATAAGAGGAGAGAGAAGACCAGTCGACGCTAGGCTTATAGATAGAAGGAGAGGAGAGAGAAAACCAATCGATGTTAGGTCTCACCAACTAACAAACAAAAGGAGAGAGAGAACCAGTTGGCATTAGGTCTCGTCGACTGACAGAAGAGGAGAGAGAAAAAGAGAGAGAAGATCAGTCGATGTTAGGCTTCACCGACTAATAAGAGAAGAGAGAGAAAATCAGTCGACGCTAAGTCTCACCGATTGATAAAGGAAGAGAGAGAAAACTAGTTGACGCTAGGTCTCACTGACTGATAGAAGAGGAGAGATATTTTTCAGCACCTTGGTCCCTAATAGGAAGTAGGTCATTAAGCCTACAAAACAATGAAAATTCTCGATCGCCTCAAAATAGCTCCAGAATTGGTCAAGATCTTCATCAGCACTTCAAAAGACCACCTGCCAAGTTTCATCGCAATCAAACATGTCTAAGGCAGTGAACACAAGGAAACAATTTTAGAGAAATTGGTCTCTAACTAGAGCCACACTTTTGGTACTTCAAACAGCTATGGGACTACTGCTATTAGATCCAGCACGGTCAAAAACCCTTATGGGTCAAATTTCAGCTTAATTGGGCACTCCAAGACAACGTTATGGGCAAAAGACTAAAATGGGTAGGCCGCACATTATTCCCGTGTGGCCTCACTGCACCAAAACACCATTAAAGGTGGCTATTTTTACGTTCACGAGCAGTCACTTTCGAGGCTTATATTTCACTCGTTCTAAGTCGGATCGCTCCCAAATTTGGTGAGCATGGTCGTCTCATCCATAAAGTACGTGTATGAAAGTACATGTATCACACAGGGCCAAAAGTGGCCCAGTCCACAAAGAAATTTAACACCACGATAAATCCGTATCTTCTAAAATCCTCTTCAAGAAAAAACAATCCAAAGAAGATTGTACATAATTTCAACACGAATCAACATATATCCCATACTCTACAATCTAAATATTCAAATGCAGTAACAGAAAACCTTAATTCTTATAAACATAAACAAAAGAAAATCAATTGAAAGTACATATATATTCATTAATGTTGTCAGATTTGCTTCGGAGTCTGCTTTAGTTTGGCATGGAAAATGAAGCAATTCGATGATTCGGTTGATTCAAGGGATTAAAAAAATTTAAAAATAGAAATATATTTTTATAAAAAAGAAGAAAGAAGAAAGAAGAAAAAATAAAAAATAAAAAATTTGTTACTACTTATATGCTAATACTATTGCTAGTGATAAACCTTAATCATAGAACAAGTTATAGCTTCAGTATTCATCATTTTACATTCCAAATATATATTAAATGATAATAAATATGTGAATATCCATTATTTTATGGTTTAATCCAAATAAAAAATTACAAATGCAATGGTAAAAAACATACGTCGACCAATCTATAACCATAGATAACACAAAAACATTCATGCACATACATAATATATAAATAAAAAAAAAGGAAAGAAAGATACAAATAATAAAATTCATGAGGTTCATAACTCCATATCTAGTCCAAATGTACATTGCCAAAAATCCAACCAAAAAAGTGCATTTTAATCCAACCAAAAAAAAGAGCATAGAGAAATTATTAAATCCTAATTTTAATCCAATCATTTCATCCTTGAGATCTAATCAATTTCATCTTTTCAAGTTTCAAATAAATGGTCAAACAAAAAATTCATGAAACATCACAAAGGAAAAGTATCCAAAAAAAAAATCCTAGCACCATGGAAATAATACATTGAATTAATAGATAAGCAACAATCAAAGAGAATGATTCATAACAATATTATCACATATGCTTGCCCTTACTCGGTGTTATAGGGTTGTTGTTCTATGAAAACCCCTAAATTTAGGGCAAACCTACAAGACCTAGAAAGAGAGAGAGGGCATCATGCTTGGGGCCATCGGGTGGGATAGAGACAGAGAGCGTACCTGAAATATTTGGAAGAGAGAGACCTTGAATCTTGATCTTGAAGGTAGAGGGTGGAGCACAAGACTCCAAAACAGAAAGAGAGAGCCAAGGTAAAAAGAAAGAAAAAAACCCTCGTTTCAGCTTTTAAGTTTGGGTCTTCACGCTTGTTCAGCGAAGGGTCTTCATGCAGGAACTTCCCGATTTAAGTTCCGTCTAAATCGACGGAATTCTTTTTTAAGCGTAAATGGGGGAAGTTCTACAATAATGAGTAAGTTACCATTTTAACCTACTCACTTTTATCAAACACGGAACATCTACAGTAACAGGTAACCTTCAAGTTCTTGGAAGCAACTTCCTGTTATCAAACACACCTTCGGGTTTTGCCCAATTGAGAGGAGTATGGAATTATTTCGATATCTCTAAAGGCTGCGGTTTGTATAGAGCCTAGGCTCTAAACAATCATATTAGAGCCTACCTCCAAATAGTGTTGAGAAATGTGGTTTCAATATCGAAAATCTTTGTGATAGCCTTAAAATATATTTTCATTTTTATTTATAAAGTTTAAAGCTTCAAAAATAGTGTAGATCGATAGATCTGTGAAATCTTGAAAAACTTGAAAATTGACGATCCAAAAATACATTACCAAATAGATTATTTCCAAAACTTGAAATCTATTTTTTTCTCATGTCCATGCATCTTGATGTCGAGATGATCAATTTGAAGATATTTGAGCATCAAAACAACCTCTTCTAGTGAATGTTTTGAGGTAGGCTCAAATTTGATTGTTTAGAGCCTCGACTCTATATAAACTTTTCCCAATATCTAAATCTTATAGAAAAAGTATTGATCGATGGGGATCTTTACCAAGAAAAAGAAGGGACACTTTCATTACTAGGCCTACAACCTCCGCTGTGGATTATCCATAAAGGTATTGCTTCTTATACGCGCCACCGCATTTCTAGGACGAAATCGTAAACCCAAACTTCAAATCTTTTAAGGCGTGTTTGATAATAGGAAGTTGCCTCTAAGAACTTGAAAGTTCCATGTTGCTATAGATGTCTTGTGTTTGATAAAAGTGAGTAGGTTAAAATGGTAACTTACCAATTACTGTAGAACTTCCCCTATTTATGTTTAAAAAAAAGTTTCGTCGATTTAGACTGAACTTAAATCAGCAACTTCAAAGGGGAAGTTCCTGCATGAAGACCCTTCACTGAATAAGCGTGAAGACCCAAACTTAAAAGCTGAGATGACGGTTTTTTTTGCTTTTTACCTTGGCTCTTAGTTTGTGCTCTGGACTCTTGTGCTCCACCCTCTACCTTCAAGATCAAGATTCAAGGTCTCTCTCTTCCAAAAATTTCAGGCACACTCTCTCTCTCTCTATCCCACCCTATGGCCCCAAGGATGATGCCCTCTCTCTCTTCTTAAATCCTGTAGCTCTGCCCTAAATTTGGGGGTTTTCATAGAACAACAACCCTATAACACCAAATAAGGGCAAGCTTTTGTGCTGATATTTTTATGAATCATTCTCTTTGATTGTTGCTTATCTATTATTTGGGTGTGTTATTTCCATGTTGCTAGGATTTTTTTTTGGATACTTTTCTTTTGTGATGTTTCATGAATTTTTGTTTTGACCATTTATTTGAACTTTAGTTCTTAGATTACTAAAGTTCCTATCCATTTGCCAAGTTCCTAGTTTGGTTAGTGTGGAGGTTTGAGGAGCAAGGGCGACTGTCTCACCCAATAACGTGAAGTGTAGTCCTCCACCGCACTTAGGGGTGGTATTGGGTCAGGCCCAGACACGAAAAAACAATATGGGATTCAGACGTGACCAGACTTGAAGTCGCCGAAGCAGGTCGAAACCCAAAAATATAATAGGGGATCAGTCTAGACCCAAAAATTAAAATATCTATGTAATGAATTATATTTAAAATATAATTACTATATTGTAACCCAAAAAATATTATTAGAACCGAACCTGAATAGCGGATCCGACTTGCTATGTCTAAGTTTTAGATTAGTACCGGAACCCGATCTGGGTCTACCCCTCGGGTCAGGTCCATTGCCACGTCTCCACCCAATGGAGAGCGGCACTTCGGTCATATATATTTTTACCTCCACTTGCTGCTGACTTAAGAGAGAGCTTTGCATTTGATTTTCCAGCCGAGAGAGAGAGAACTTACCAGAGAGAGAGCTTTGCATTTGATTTTCCAGCCGAGAGAGAGAGAACTTAACAGAGAGAGAGCTTTGCATTTGATTTTCCAGCCGAGAGAGAGAGAGAGAGAGATAGAGAGAGAGAGAGGAGGTATTCGT